GCACAGAGCTAAGAAGAAGAAGCAGCAGCACAGAGCTAAGAAGAAGCAGCAGCAGCACAGAGCTAAGAAGCAGCAGCAGCACAGAGCTAAGAAGAAGCAGCAGCAGCACAGAGCTAAGAAGCAGCAGCAGCACAGAGCTAAGAAGAAGCAGCAGCAGCACAGAGCTAAGAAGCAGCAGCAGCACAGAGCTAAGAAGCAGCAGCAGCACAGAGCTAAGAAGCAGCAGCAGCACAGAGCTAAGAAGAAGCAGCAGCAGCACAGAGCTAAGAAGCAGCAGCAGCAGCACAGAGCTAAGAAGCCGTTGTTCAGGGGGCGACTCGGTCGGCAGACGACATCAAAAGCACGACCACAATTCCACAGACGTAAAACACAATGACGTAACAAGAGCAATTATGTACATGGACAACCTCCCCCCCCCCCCACTATAAGCAGAGTTTAACTTCTATATTTAGGGGGGTGGGCGAGGGGGAGGTGCTGAATAACCTTTCAATCTCCGCTCCTTGCGTTGTGCATCATTTCATCAGTACTCGTCCAACTTGAACAATAATTTCGGTTTGCATTCTTTGCATCGCTGCTCGATATCCAAATACCGCATTGTCCCGCATATTAAGAATTGCAGGCGCATACTACGATCAATTAATTATAAAAAATAAAATCTTAATTATAAACGACTGAAAATAAATTTGGATCTAAAGCTTTCGTGACTGCAGGGATTCATCTTTTTGGTTCTTTCGGTAAAGTCACGTAGAAGGGAAGTAATAAAATAATAAAAATAAACATAATAAAATAATTCTCACGACGTTTCGGCCACAACGCAAGCAGTCGTCCTCAGGTGCCCAGTTTTAGGGGGGTCTTTCCCACCCCACCCCCCTCGGTGCCCCCCCAACCATATACGGTCCTGGGCCTCCCCTATGTATGTATCTACGTTGAACTTCTTTCGTACCGTACGTAGCCAAACGTGCTTATCGGAGGTCGACTCTGTAAACAACGTCAACATGCGGGGAGACAAAGGCGGTCGGGCGTGGTCGCTGGCCACCACAGCCACCCCCACGGACGCGCCCGTGCCCGACCACCTTCCTACAGTGTGTTCGCTTACAGCACTTTCCCATCGATGCGCACACGTACACACACACATATACACGTGTGTGAATAAACAATTCATAAATACACGAGTGTATGTATACAGTATTTATACGCGGTAACCTTTCGCCTCCGAGGAATTTTTTTTTCCTTGAGCCTGTTTGGGGGATATTTATCAGGTCCAAGCAAATCCAATTATCACAGCACTGCAGGCAGAATTTTTTTGTTTATTGCATTTGATGCATTGCAAGAGATAACCACCGCAGGGAAAACAAATTGTTTTAAAAAAAATAGTTATATCGGTGCGTACTTAATCATGTTAAATGGTTTGGCACGAGCACAAGTGACGGACAAATCAGATAACAACGGGAAGGAGAAAATAAAAACATTTCCGCTCTGCGCATCTTACCCAGAAAGATAGAGTCAACGTGGATTAGTGGGGAGGTCTTGTTCCCTTTAATTGTAGTAGCTTTATCACCGCGGGCATTAAAATAGACTTCGGGGGAATTGGAAGTCCGTGTTCGTTGCGATGCAAAGAAGCTCGGTGCAATTCCGAATGCGTTCCGAGGCAGTGATGCGGCAGATGGTAATAAGGGAAAATTTGTTTGCTTGAAACAGCCTCAAGCTGGGTCCCGTTATTAAGCGTCCACTCCACACAAAATGCACCGCGCCATAATTTCCCACCACCTTAGTAGGGTGGCACTTTGCCGTGGTAAGTGTGTGCACACATGTTGAACTTTTTTCGCACCGTGCGTGTGACTCGTAGGAGCGACAGACGAGACAGAGAGGTGTCGATATTGATATACAGGATGTTGTGTGCCGGGTGCGAACATATTTCGCGGGTCGCTGATCCGGACGGACCAGTACAGCTTGAAACGGTGATTGACGCAAAAATAATGTAACCGTGTATTGTTTTGGAAAGTTTTTTTTTTTTATGAAACTACCAAACGCGTTGGGGCAAAGTGTTGCATAACATTGGAGGTCATCTGCTCCTGCCTCCTCACCTATCAGGAGAACACTTAACACATTCATCACTAACACTGGAGGCCTTAAAAATAAAATGAACAAACGAAACATAACAGGTAATATTTCAGGCTACATATGACACTTGCAAAGTTGTACCTATGCTATGAAAAAAGTCCGTTGCCTGAAACGTCATCGATTTTATAGATATTTTTTTCATTTTAAGGCCACAGTGTTATTGATTCATATGCAGGTTTTCTTTTTATAATTGTTAGTGGAAATCTGTGCGCTGGAACTGTGCAAATACAATCGTGATTTTTTTTCGATTCAAAGCTTTCGTGACTGCAGCTTTCGTGACTGCACATTCTTGGTTTTTTCGGTAAAGTCACGTAGAAGGGAAATAATAAAATAATAAAAATTCAACAATGAAATTCTCACGACGTTTCGATCGCAACACAAGCAATCGTCGTCAGGTGTTAGTGTCATCACCATTTGCATCCTCATCGTTACATCCATCGCCTTCGTCGCCGCCGCCGCAATCATCAGCATCATCACCAACATCGTAGACCTCATCGACAGCATTACGATAACGACGGTGCTCTTTAGTGGAGCAATCGGTGGCAACGGTGGCTAGAGCACTACCCCATGGACCGTGACGACCTGAGTTCGATAGCTGGCCCACGGCTTACAACGGTGGAGAGTCACATCTGAATTGGTCCTGGGCATTCCTTCTTCACCAACACCGCACTGACAAAACGTGGTGAAGTATGGTCAAACGTACGTATGTTGAACTTCTTTCGCACCGTACGTAGCCAACCGTGCTCGTTGGAGGTGCGGGCGAAGGACGACACACTAAACGCAATAGAGAAAGTTCTAAAGAAATTCGTTTTCAATCTACATCTAAAGTGCATAGCTCCCAGTGGCCCCCTCATTACAAACAACGAATGTGTTGAGTTTTTTTGTTTGTTTGTTTCTTAATCGTGAACAGTCTGTGGTCGAACTCGTCCGGCTGGCCCGAACGTGGGAGCTCTGATGTGGGTGCAGGCGAGGTCTGCCTGAACCGCCACGTATGTTCACACCTTGACTATTTTAGTTTTTTTAATGAGCATGATAACCGTGCGTATAACGCGATTTTGTGAATATAATCCACCGTGCGATGATTTAAAATTGGAATCTAAGCACCTGAAGGCGCTGCATACTAAAAGCAACCCTCTGTTGACCTCCACAGTGTTAGGCAGCGATGCAGGGGTCAGCCCGGCAGTCTGATTACACCTGTCCGGGTTTGACCTGAAAGAGTGGTGGCAAATGGCATCCGTGTTTGGGTGGCAGGAATCGATTTGTTCCGATAACTGATGCTATTGTGTCGAACTTTATCACAGCCGCAGAGAAAATCCCTGGGTTCGATCTCCCGACTTGGGCAGCTTTCTGTTTGGCGTCTGCGTTATATTGTGACCCCTGTTCGGCATCGTTTTCCTCCGGATTCTCCGGTTTCCTTTCATTGCAAAAATCCCAACATACAAAGTAACCGGTTATTGACCATCCACTGCCAAACACTGAAAATGTACCTGAAAAAAATGTCCCAGTTGGAATCACGCAGCAGCAACGACATCCCTTCTCTACTTCGAAATGAACTCTCCGTAGGACGCGCCTGTCAAAGAGTCTCAACACTCCGTGGTATTTGACTGGGTAAAGTAGCCCAGTGATATAAAGAACGACCAGGGCTGACTGAGAAACATACTTGGTCTGTAGGGAGAAAAAGAGGTGATGGCCCTACTTGGCCGCATGGAATGGGTGGAGGAGGGGGGGGGGGCGGAGGAGTCGATGGGAAGATTTTCGCACCCCTCCAAGGTTTAAGATCGTTCTGCCGGCGTCGAGAGAGATGACGAATCAGCATTCTCGCAGAGAGCGGTGCAGCAGCCCTTCGTGCCAGAGACGGGCCTCAGTGCCGTTGGTTCGCTGCCTTGCCCAAGCTGGGGAATTGGTGTTTCTTGTGCAATTTAAACTTTTCTACTTTATTTATGTTTGTCTATTTTCTGGGAATTGCTCACCTTTCCTATACTTTGCACGCCTATAGTTTGTTTGCATTGTTTGTTGCCGGAGCTTGCCGACCTGCCCCGACTGGAGGTGTGTGAAAAAGAGCTTTGTAGATCATCGGATTTCTCCAGGATAAGTAAAGATTCTGATTCAGCGAGACCAGACCGTGTTTAAGATTTTTTTTTACTAACTTGTTTTTTTTATCATTTTCTAACATGGAAAATTCCGGAGAGCACAGAACCAGGGCACAAGAGGTTCGATCCACCGGTGTAAGTAGGTTCCCCTGGTTGTGAATCAGAACAGACATGGGAAATGGACCACAAAGGAAGGATAGAAAAGGTGGAGAAAGACAAGAGAAAGGAGAGGAGTTAAAACGAAAGTTTTTAAAATGTTGTTTTGCTAGGCAAGGCCCACTGAGCTATATAGCTCTTTCTCAAAGGCGATCTGGCCACAAATGATAGCTCAACGAAGTGGCTTATCACGTGGACATTTTTTATATCAGCCAAATAATCTAAACGCCTGTTTCTAAATGTGGAGAAACAAACCGGGGGACGTAAAAAAGAATCCACGCGACCACGGGGTTGGTGATCGAACCCACGACCTCCTGTATACAAGGCGAGGTAGTTAACATCTCGCCACCGCGGCGCCCCGAGCTGAGCGACAAAGTCCACAATGGGGTCAGAGGGTCAGCCCAGATGCGAGTCACGTGCTGAAGAGTCTTAACATTTCGTGTCATTGTCAAAAGCTCCAAGCAACGCACGGGAGATTCAGAAAGTGGACAGCGAGAAACGTCCCAAGCCGGTCTGCGTGGTTGCCTTGTTTCCTAACATCAAGTACAACAAAAATATACACGGTCTCTACATGAATGATTACTGAGTATTAAAAGGGTGAATCCGGTTATAATCACACCTTATATAAGCACAGTACATAGGTAGTACAGATACTAAAAGTGGAACGATAGGAGAAATAATTAGCATGGCCCCTGCGTGAGGATTCGTGATGCATTTGATGTTTTAACTGATTTATGTTTTAAGTTTAATGTCCTTTCCCTGCACCTCCGATTAGCACAGTTAGTTATGTACGGTAGGAAAATAGTTCAACAACCACAGAGATCCACAGACACTCAGACTTCCTCGCCAGGTGTGCAGGAGTTCGGGGATTCGATCCCGGCGTCTGTATATTTGGAGTTTGCATGTCTCTTTCTATCTCACTCCCTGGTGGTCGCGAGTATTTTTCTCCAGGTCGTCCGGTTGTAAAATTGAACTACCGATTCTACTATGGGTAGGCTTCATGGGTTCAGATCACAGTCGCGAACGTGGCTGTTATCTGGCACTAGTATGTCTGTGTACGGTGCAGAGTGGCAGTCTCCAACTCCAACGCACTCGGGCTCACTCACCGACATATCTCTTCATCTATGCCAGGGCGAATTTTGTGCCCAAATTGGTGCCTGTCATATTTTGATTCACCTTTTTCGGGCAGCGCTATTGGTGAACGCGTTGAGTGTTTGCGTTTATTCGAGATCTGCTTTCCATTTGTTTCGCTAGAGGTCTATGGAAATCGGCGAGCAACTTTTACCCCCGAGGACACTGAAGGTAAACAAAACAACGTCAATAATTCACTCCCCCGGGGCCTTCACGAAGATGGGGCAAATTGTCAGGCGTCATTGAGAATCAGAAAAGTCATATTGGTAAAACTGGTTGTGCATGCAACTTGAATTGCTAAGTGGTGTACCTTGGGATGCCGTAGTGCTTGTGGAATAATATATATATATTTTCTTTAAGTTAACTCGTATGAATTTTAAAAATGTACGACATGACTCGAAGCCATCGATTTTTGTCTTCTCTGTTCTTTAAATAGTTTTTTTTAATCTTCAAAATGTTTTTTTTATTATTATTTTCACTCAGCCCTCACCCCACACTGCCACTTAATCGCAGTTTGCTGAGCGCAGACCCAGATATCCAGACTTCCAAAGGGCCAGCAAATAAATAATTAAGGGTGGATGAGATGATGACATTTTTGCTCTACAACTATGCGAGCTGGCAGCAGAAGAATCGTCATGTGGTGCAGAATAGCACTTGGAAGATGATGATATAGAACTACTTCCGAGGTCGCTTTAAAAAAAAACTCTTCATTCGCACGAGAGGCACACATTGTCCATGCCCTGCTACGAGTATTCATCACATGTCAATCAAATTAAAATGTTTGAAACTCAGAGCGAGGACCTTTACCAAGTTGAGTGCAAGGAAATGTGTATCCAGTCGTCTGTTTTATGCAGTCATTGGTGATCGGAATTAGACCTTGAACACACAACACTTGGCAACCCGGTCAAATCACAACCCAGTCTCTGTGGAAGTCTGCGGGTCTCTATGTCTATGAGTCTCTACATCTCTAAAACCCCGGTTTAATTCTAGGCATTATACAATGTACGTACAATTATGCAATGCAGACAACATTATGTAATGTACTTGACGCGAATATCTGTAGCTTGCGCTACGCGTTTGTGGGCAAGGCACACCATCGCTGATGCCTCCACAGCTGCGACTGCAAGCACCAAGCGATATTCTCAAGATGAGCGAACCTCGGTGTGGCTCTTGCCAAGTGCTTTCATCATTAAGTCGTGAATCCTTCGTTAATTTCAACTCACTCACTCTCTGCTATCTTTTATAACGACGGCGCTGAGAGAGGAGTAAGCGGTTGCAGGAAAGAAATGTAATCATGGCAAGAGTTTGCGGCAGATGATCGTGTTTCTTTTGTTCACGGGCTAAATGTGTTTCTTCTTCAACGTATTCCACCTGCCGAGAGACGGCAAGTGGAACATCTGCCTACGGGAACATACGCAGGGTTGATGGCATCGTTCCAACTGTTAATTAAATATAATATATACGCAATTGGCGCTTGGGCAAGATGTACTTATCGCAGGAAATAGAGGCCGATGGGATGGCCTCACTCAGTGGTTCTCAAACTTTGTTTGACTCATTCAGACGCTGTCTTCCCGACAGACCTGTTCTTCACCTGAGGACGGCTGCTTGCGTTGTGACCGAAAGGTCGTGACAATAATTTTTATTATGTTTTATTTTAGTTATTTTATTATTTCATTCTACGTGACTTTACCGAAAGAACCGAGAAGATTTGATTGACTCTGCACACTCAGCCGATGCGAACGTTTCGGCGGACCACGCCACCGCTGGTGACAAAACGAATTCGCCTCTCTCTCTCTCTGAATCACAATCTTGCAAAATTATTCATATTACTAGAACATTAAAAACACTTTCTTTTCTTTAATGCAGCAATAAGGTTTTTTAATGGGGGAAGGTGAGTGGGAGTGGGGGGCATTTAGATGTCAGCTTTAGGGTAGTTAATCAAGGCAGTTTAGCTAATTTTTATTCGTTTTTTTAATAATTATTATATATCATGAGTAAATTATAACTTAACGCCTGTGACAAGAGGAAAAATAAACGTTGTTATTTCCGAATCAACCTGCATTTGCATCACAGCCACCTTAGACCACCTGGTGGTACCGTGGACTATACTTTGAGAACCACTGGACTAGAGAACCACTGGACTAGAGAACCACTGGACTAGAGAATCATTGGACTAGAGAATCACTGGGATAGAGAATCACTGGACTAGAGAATCACTGGACTAGAGAACCACTGGACTAGAGAATCACTGGACTAGAGAATCACTGGACTAGAGAACCACTGGACTAGAGCATCACTGGACTAGATAATCACTGGACTAGAGAATCACTGGACTAGAGAACCACTGGACTAGAGAACCACTGGACTAAAGAACCACTGGACTAGAGAACCACTGGACTAGAGAATCACTGGACTAGAGAACCACTGGACTAAAGAACCACTGGACTAGAGAATCACTGGACTAGAGAACCACTGGACTAGAGAACCACTGGACTAAAGAACCACTGGACTAGAGAACCACTGGACTAGAGATCCACTGAACTAGAGAACCACTGGACTAGAGAATCACTGGACTAGAGAACCACTGTACTAGAGAACCACTGGACTAGAGAACCACTGGACTAGAGAACCACTGGACTAGAGAACCACTGGACTAGAGAACCACCGGATTAGAGAACCACTGGACTAGAAAATCACTGGACTAGAGAATCACTGGGCTAGAGAATCACTAAACTAGAGAATCACTGGACTAGAGAACCACTGGACTAGAGAATCACTGGACTAGAGAACCACTGGACTAGAGAACCACTGGACTAGAGAACCACTGGACTAGAGAATCACTGGACTAGAGAATCACTGGACTAGGGAACCACTGGACTAGAGAACCACTGGACTAGAGAACCACTGGACTAGAGAATCACTGGACTAGAGAATCACTGGACTAGAGAACCACTGGACTAGAGAATCACTGGACTAGAGAACCACTGGACTAGAGAACCACTGGACTAGAGAATCACTGGACTAGAGAACCACTGGACTAGAGAATCACTGGAGTAGAGAACCACTGGACTAGAGAATCACTGGACTAGAGAACCACTGGACTAGAGAACCACTGGACTAGAGAATCACTGGACTAGAGAACCACTGGACTAGAGAATCACTGGAGTAGAGAACCACTGGACTAGAGAATCACTGGACTAGAGAACCACTGGACTAGAGAATCACTGGACTAGAGAACCACTGGACTAGAGAACCACTGGACTAGAGAATCACTGGGCTAGAGAATCACTGGACTAGAGAATCACTGGACTAGAGAACCACTGGACTAGAGAACCACTGGACTAGAGAATCACTGGACTAGAGAATCACTGGACTAGAGAACCACTGAACAAGAGAATCACTGGACTAGAGAATCATTGGACTAGAGAATCACTGGACTAGAGAATCACTGGACTAGAGAACCACTGGACTAGAAAATCACTGGACTAGAGAATCACTGGGCTAGAGAATCACTAAACTAGAGAATCACTGGACTAGAGAACCACTGGACTAGAGAACCACTGGACTAGAGAATCACTGGGCTAGAGAATCACTGGACTAGAGAATCACTGGACTAGAGAACCACTGGACTAGAGAACCACTGGACTAGAGAATCACTGGACTAGAGAATCACTGGACTAGAGAACCACTGAACAAGAGAATCACTGGACTAGAGAATCATTGGACTAGATAATCACTGGACTAGAGAATCACTGGACTAAAGAATCATTGGACTAGAGAACCACTGGACTTTAGAACTGGTGGACTAGAGAACCATCGGCCTAGATAACTACTGGACTAGACAACTACTGGTCAAGTGTGAGGACAGGCGCAGCTGTAAATGAATGGAGCTGTTTCTGAGAACGAGGAGGTGGGAACCACTCGGAAGATGGAGACATTAAATAATTTAAGCGTAAAAAATAATTCCACGTGCAGATATCAGGTCGATTATGACCTTGCAGGATCTAGAGCGATGTAAGTACGTACTATATATTGAACTTCTTTCGCACAGTGCGTAGCCAACCGTGCTAATCGGAGGTGCGGCGGAGCTGCTTGGCAGAGGCCCTCATCCAGCAGTGGATTGACCACAGCCGATGGCGAACGTGACGATGGTGAAATGTTTCCTCACGGCAGCACCTGGTCACCTCTATGCTGAACGCGTGTAGCGGCAGATTAAATTCTATCGTGCATGGCCGGCCCCCGGCAGGTGCATATTCGGTGAATTTCAGGAGCGTGTGCATGTGTGCGTGCAGGATGTGTTTTTCAGCATTTAGTTAATATTCTGCACGCCGACTATGAGCGCTGTAGAGAGGCTGCCTTGGAATTCGCGACAGATTTATGGTGCTTTCGGTCGCTCACGCTCGTGTGTGCGCGCGGGTCATTCCGTCTTTATTTATTCACTTGTGGCAGCTGTGTTCAAGCCTCTCTGAGGTTGGCCCCATGCAGCCTGGGTTATACACAAGTCTGCATATGACAGAGACCAGTTTTCGAGAAATGTTTCCACCGGCCAATAGACATATATATGTTTCCTTTAGTATTAAACCGAGGGTCAGAAATTTACCGTG